TCTGAAAAGAGTTTACAATCCTACGGATTTTGAAGGATATGAGAAGTTTAGGTTCCATGACATACTTTCTCCTGTCAAAGGTGTTGCAGAATGACTCTGAATATATCCAAGAAATAATGTCAGAATATAGGGAATGCAAGGCAGATACAATCGAAGGAAATTAAGGAAACCCAGATTGCTTTCCCTAGATATCTGAATCCATTTACCATATCTGAAGTAGCTTAGAAATAACTGTTGATACCTCCTTTTTATTTCAACTAGCACATATTGAATTCTTACTGTGTAGCTTGTATGTACTGTATCTTGTAACAAGACTATGAAAAGGAATAAAAAACGTGGTCCAGATCTTCAAGAAACATGCAGTATTTTCTCATTTTCTACTTGTAATCTCTCCCTCTTTTCTGACTTGCTCACTTGCTTCAGTCTCTTGTATGGGCATTGATTGCTACTCTGATTTAAATTTGAAGACAGGTTGAATCTAGCTCTTGTCATCTGTTAACATCCTAAAATTCAAAACATTTTGTTAGATACCTAATCTCTAAAGATCTACTCAAGGGTTTAGAAGCACTTATTGTATGAACTGCATAGATGAAATCTTAGCATTTAAGAAAAGTGACATTTTAAATATTGACAATAAGAAGAAAATCTTATATCGGATTTTAATTGTTTTAGTGAAGTCCATAGTATTTTTGAACTTCTTCTGATATCAGAAGTTTCCTTAGTAGAAAACAAGCCAGATGATTTGAAGAAACCAAGCATGGCCTTTATCCACAAATCATTAAATTTAGTTTCTGTGGAATTTTTTTCAGTCACAATCCCATCTCATGCTCTCTTAAGGGCTGGGTATTATCATCCCTTAGAGTCTGTTTGCTGACATTCAGTGAAAACCAACCAACAAAATAGAAATGAGCTTTGCATTTCTTTGCATTTCAAGGAAATGAACAGCTAAGTCCTCTTTTCAGGATGAAACCCAGTGCTACTTGAAGATATAGTATCATAGACAGATTCACCATATAACTCAATGAGTAGAAATTGTCCATTGTTTTAAAAATCTGACCTGTAGATTAGTGCTCAGTAGGCACCCAGGATTTTCAAACTGGAACTTTTGAAATACAGTTGTTACTTTTTAAATTTTATTTTGGTGCTGCTGAGGCTCACACCCTGGGCCCTGTGCTTGCCATGCAAGCCCTCTACCACTGAGTCACACACCCACAACCCTCGAAATATAGTTGTTATAATAATAGTTAGCTTTTTGCTTTGGCTAAATTCTACTTTTAAGTTTTAGTTTCAGTAAACTTGTAAGTCTATGGTCCCGTTCATAATTTATACTTTTTAGTAAGTCTATAAAAGTCTTTCTCATCTTATAATCAAACTTCTGATTAGAAAAGTGAAAATATATCCAGCTAAAAAGACCTCTGGAGTAGCAAGCCCTAGACTTACCCCTTTTAAGATGGAATTATTTGGTAGTTTCTATTGAATCTTCAGACCCTTAAACCACAAAAAGTAGTTCCAGATAGTGTTTGGGGGCAAGGCTGCTACCATGTCCGTATGACATCTCTTTGCCCTTGGTGACTGCCGTACCTATCTATTCATTGTTTTACACTGTTGATCATATTACAAAATACACTGTTCCTTGGGTCTGTTACCATCCAAAAGGGAGTGTGGAGCTACTGTATATTGCAGAACACACATAAAACTTGTTTATCCAGTCTTATGTACATTATTAGAAATAATTAAGAGCTGGGGATTTAGCTCAGTGGTTCTGCCACCTGCCTCACAAGCGCAAGGTCCCGAGTTTGATCCCTGGTACCAAAAAAAAAAAAAGATTAACTCCATTTTTAATTTACGTAGATAAAGATCCCTCTACCATTTGTTTTCTATAATGTTCAGTATTTGGACCATCTTTTTTGTATCTGGTAAATACATCTACCACTTTAAAATATTTGGCTTAAATACTTAGGGCATTCTTTATTTAGAATAATAGTGAATTGTGGAATACAGGGTCTTTATCTTGTTTTCTTTTTTTCTTCATACCGGGGATTGAACTCGGGTCCTTGCGCTTTCACAGCAGGCAGTGAACCCACTGAGCTAAATCCCTGGCCCTTTATCTTGTTTTCAAAGATGGTATACTTGACTTTTTGTGTCTCAAGTGTTACGTCTTAGGCTAAGAATCAGAAGTCAAAGAAATGTACTTGAGTCTGTAGCCATGAAGATTCCACCTCAGATTATCTGGGTCTAGAAAGAATAAGAAGCTTCCTGTGGTATGAATGTATATATGCCTTTTCATATAACTGTCACATACTAGGTACTATATGTTGAAATAATCTGAGGCCAAATGTTATTTGCAGTTTTTGTTCATTTATTTCCCCTCTTTCAGAAAATGAGCTGTCCAACTGTTTAAGCAATTACTATATAAATGTATACATGTGCGTTATATATGTATAGATCACTATAGTCAGCTAATTTTTGAACACCTAGCCATGCCAGTTAATGGTTGTACAAAGACATTCTTGTTCTTGTCTAGCTCTAGAATAAGCCTTCTACTTTGAAGTGTCTTCCTTCTCTAGAATTAGGCCTGTGGTGGTTTGTTGTTTTAATTTATTGATGCCTCTGAGCCAACCATAGAAAGTTTTCCAGAATCTCAAGACTGTTTCCACTAATTGCCTTGTTGTTCAGGCACATTGAGTATTTTTACTTAAACTGTATTTTCTTTTTGTTATATTTAATAAGAAAAACGAAAGATTTCTAGTCCCTTTAATTGCATAAGCCATGACTTCTAAGCCCATTTCACTTTCTTTTATCAATAGCAGAAGAAGCTCCCAAACCTCTGTCACTAAGGGGTTAAATTCTTTCATCAAATATGTTTATGAGGGGCCACAGCTATGTTGGCTATACCGTCTTTTTTTTTTTTAACTTTCTAGTTCACTAATCAAATGTATGTTAGATTGATTATTGTAAAAGTATAAAGCATAGAAAATTTGACAAGATAGATGTGTAAATTATCCTTCTGACAGAACTAATGATGCACTCCAAGCACCTTCTGTTTTCCAGCGCTTGGTGAGCGACTTCATTAAATATGCAATGGCTGTTGGGTGGCTTCTCAGATGATGGTTCAGCTCCTCGTGGAATTGCATTATTACTGGAGGTGTAAAACCATGCAGACAAGCTAGCTGTTGGGCATCCTGCTGAGCTCCTAATGTTCTCCATCTTGTTGGAGCAGTTGTTTGCAGTCTTTTCAGGACAATTACATCTATAACCACAGGACACATTCAGTGAAACTATATTACAGATAACAGTGGAGATTGGCATTGACTGCTCTTCACCCTTCTCTCGAGCTGCCTCAGTGTGGGTAGCTTGCCACTTCTACCACTCAGAGTAGTTGCTTTTTTTTTTAAGTTAACTGAACAAATCTGGAAATAACTGATTTTTAGCTTTTTTAAGTGCTTAAACTCACAGACTATTAGAATCGAAGAGACTAGATTCTAATTCATTTGGAGATAAGAAAACTGAGGCTGAAGCATAATCATGGATTGTCCCTTAGGAGAGGTAAAAGGTCCCAGCAGAACATCTTTTAGGTGGTACAGATTGTGTGAGTAGGAATTTATACTGTTTAGCTTCTGATTTTAGAGCTTCTTTAAAATTTTTCATTTTAAATTTAATTATTTTCCTGCTGAACCTCATTTCCCCTCATCTTCACATGAGAAATAACGTATTTCTAAAAGCCAAGCAGAAATATCTGAGGGTACCATGCCATTTATTATTTTGATGACAATTTGATGGTTTCCTGGAGAACTGGACACAAAAGATGGTTTGAGTTGAGCTACAGTGGTAGTTAAGGCTTCTGAAAGGCAGATGCTGTGATGTATCACTGCCGCCTGATAAATGGGAGTGCATTTTAGAATGACAGGTTGAACACTTTAATGAAATAAGGTTTCCCATCTCAGTTAGCCAATTAAATCACTGTTGATGACTTCAGATCATTAATGCACATTTGTGCAAAATGACCATTAGAATTCAATTATTACAATAATACATGTAGTTGAGAAGTACTAACTGCTTATAATCCTAACTGTAAATTAAAAGACATCCGTTTTGCCACAGATAAGTCTGTGTGGCATTGCTTTGCAATGCCAAACCAAGTTGACATATCAGAATTCTTTTACATAGCCTTTCTTATGAAAGTTGTACTTAGAAAAGGTTATTTTTCATTAAATGCTTTTTAAAATATAATTTATGGTGCTAATCATCATGTTATTTCATTCTCAAATTAGAGATAAAGAGGAGGGGACATTACATAGTTTATAAAGCAAAATATTAAGTTTAAGATGGATCAGGTATCTGATTTTTTTTTAGTGCCCCCAAATTTCTGAATATGGAAAAACAATAGGAATAAAGCAACTATTGTTAAATGGGAACATGCAAATGTATTTAAAAGCACTGTGAAATAAAATGTAAATAAAATGCTTTAGGCTTTATAACCAGAGGTTTTTTTCCCATATGCCTATTAAAGGTTAGGATTTTGTTTCCTTTTAAGTTTTTGTGCTCTTTAAAATACTTTAGGTTCTACACGCTGTAATTTTTTGGTAAGTATAGCCAACAAATTCATCTCAAAATAATGTTTTTCTTAAGTTAACTTCATTTTCTTTGAAACTTTGGTATGTTTTGGTAGTTAGGGCAAGAGATAGGTTCTTTTGAAATACATGTTTTTCTCATCTTGTTATTTGTAAAATGGACTGTAATCTCAGTCCAGGCTTCCTTCAATCTCCATTTCATAGTTTACAGAGAAAGGAGACACTATGGAGCACAGGCTTCCCCTGGGAATGCATTGGGCTTAATGAGCTTGATAGTCTGGTGGGCTCAATAAATCAAATAAAGCAAAACATTTCTCATTTTTGAATAAAAGCATTTATCACACAGTGTTTGTTCACTCGTGGTCACAAGATTGATTGGTTCCCAGCATCATAGTGTATATTGAAGCATTTTTTATTTTGTTTTTCCAGTGGGCAAGTTACGGAAGCAGTGGCTGAAAGAAAGCATCTCTGATGTCGGCTTTGGGATGCTGAAGTCCGTCAAGGAATATGTGGATCCCAGTAACATCTTTGGAAACAGAAACCTTTTATAATCTATTAGTATCATTATGAAAAATGTCACTTTTTCTTTTTAAGTTTTCAACAGTGGTTATACCAGTAATCAAATATATCATAGACTATATTTTGACCCTTTTGTTTGTTGGTTTAAAATAAGTTTGTTTTCATTCTGTTTTCTCATCTATGGATCGACAGATGGTATTCCTACATCTCTCTCATTGTAGGTTTATCAGTTTACAGCCAACGATTGTCATTTCAAATCTTAGCACAAGTCTGCCAGTTATTTCTGAGAGAGATGCTACCAGCTGTTTTATATTGATGCTTCCTCTTTGGAAACAGGCAGATTTGGGTATCATCTATTGCTTATCTAGCCTTTTTTTAAAAGACTATTTCTGGGAAGCAGATATCTAGAGAGAGTCCACTTAGGGTGATACATGTATATGTTTTCTAAGAGATACTCTACTGTGAGTAGGCCATTAAGGGAGTATATTCATGAACGAATATAGGCAGGCTGTTATTGGAATGCCTTTAGTTCGTAAGGTGCTTGGCCTACAGTTTTCTTCAAAATTAGTATACAGTTGTAAAACTTTTAATTACCAGTATACAGTTATTCTGTGAGGGGACACATTTTTGTTCTCCATGTTTCTGTTTGTACTGAGGTATGAGTTGTGTTTGTATCACTGAAGAAACCTATTGTTATATCCTAGATCATTCATAATATGTTTTATAAGAAAAGCTGACACCACTCATTGTATGTGAAAGACAGGTTTACCATAAAATGAATGTCTTTATCCAACCCAGAGTCCTGTTTCTGCTGTTGCATGCCTGTGACTGAGCTGCAGAAGAAGCTGCAGCAGGATCAGAAGGAAGACTCCTAACCCTAATGTCTCCCCCTGAAAGAATTGTTTGGCTAAAAAGCAGTCATTGTTCAGCTATTGAATTTCAAACCCTCAACAGTTTCAGTGACAAAATTTTTTTATTAACCCAACAGCATGATAAATTTTCATATAAAAGTAAAGTTTGAATTTAGTTCCTAATGGATTAATACCTTTTTTGAATTACTGGTTTAACCTTGATTTTAAAAGAAATGTATTAATGCATATACCATAATCAAAAGTTTGAAATATCCTGTTTCTTAGTACAAAGAGCATTAATCACACTTAGAAAACATTTTTACATTCAAACCTGGCTATTAAAATAAGTGAAATAATTAGTTTAAATTACTATCTGTCAAGGTTCATGATTCACTTTTTGAGATGGATTCTTTTCTTAATAAAATACCTAACTTTTGATAATTTTTTAAAATTAATGTTTAATCAGATATTATGTCAAAATGCAGACGATCTTTTAAAAGGACACACTGTCTGCCTATGTAGCAACAGCTCCAAGGTATTTTTGGGCAGTTTGATACCTTTTATATTTGAAATAGCCTTAACCAGAAAAGTGAAAATTTAAAATTGACAAAAAGGTATTTTTAAGACTTCAAAATAATAATTTTTAACTATTAAAATTGACCTCAGACTAACAAACTTAAATCTGTAAGCAAATCAAAATTACTAGTTTAACAACAAAAACTAAATATTTATTTTTTAGAAGCTGCCTCTCTTCATTGATGATTTATTTTTAATTATAAAATTTCCAGCGGATCTTTTCTTAAAGCCCTTGAGGATTTGAAATAGTTGGACACTTGATGAGATTACCTCTAGAATTATAAGATTATCAGCTTTATAAAATGCATCTATTCATGAAGTTGATTTCTCTAATTGGTGATCAAAATGTAAAAATTAGTAAGGTACTAATATCTCACTGGAAGTGTATACATGTTTCTGAATAATTTTTTAATAAAACATTCATAAGCAGATTCATTCCTTTTCATGTGATTGTTATAACATTCTTTCCCAGGGAGTTTAGATGACAACCTCAGAAATCTATACTTGATATTAGGAATCTATAAATGTAACACTTGAAATTATTACAATCACTGTTCTACATGAACCTTATGGAAACTAGTGATTTATGCGGTTTTTTTCCATGTATACACAACTCTCCAACCTTGGTTTTATAATGGTGACTACATTTTGTAGTGAGAATCATTTCTACAGAGATCATTTTGAAACTCAAGAACGTTCATCAGTACTGTTTCATTCTAATTTAGAAAATCAGAAAGCCTTCACCCACTTTAACCCACCCACCTCTGAGAGGAACCTTGGTATAGACTTAGTGTCTGTAGAGGACTGAGTTCATGAATATGCACAAAAGCACTTAAACCATGCCTCTCATGCCTGAAGTATCTAAAAATGGCTTCATAAGAGTCAAAGTTAGGAGAACATTGTTTATATGAGGCTTCTTAATTCATTTTTAATGTTTATTTAAAGATTTAAAAGTCTGTAGCCTATTTAGTTTTCAGTACTGGATAATAGTGTCTTCTCTTTCTTGAGTTGTCATATTTGTGATATTTTACTTAAATTCAATGATATCATTTGGGCTGGGGCTTCATTGGGAATGGGAACTTGCAGCTGGTAGAAGCAGCATTGAATACTAAAGAATATGAACGGGCTTTATTGATCCTTAGAGAAACTGCTGCCTTAATGTTTGGTGCAATTTATTGTAGTGCATAAGTATTTAGTCCTATGCTAGTAACTTGAACTTTTTTTGTTTTGTGAGAACTGGAAGCCACGTGCTTATTATCCCCAGTATTTTGCCAGAGAAGAGAATTAAATTCTTTCCTCCTCTGAAAATTTGGGAGTTTTCTTCCTAAAGTGCTTACATATTACAGCACCATTACTCTGAAGTTATTTACGAAGCTGGAAGCTTTCTAGTGTGCATAGCTGTGTTGAGGTATATTTTGGAAAATAAAAGTGCAATAAAGGATGAGCTGCCATCAGAGTGTGTATTATACCAGGTACAGATGGTTGCAAAGAAACCTTTTTTTCAGAATATTGTGTTAGCAACTCTTAGATTGCATTTTTGAAAATACTTTTTTGCATGTTGGCCCCAGATGTTTTCCCTTGTTAAACTCTTTCATGGCTACAACTTCTTAACTAGCTGATTAAAAGTCCTAAGTTGAAGTGTGTTTCCTCAGGTCTTCAAATGCAGCTGGGTTTGGCTGAACTTCTACTCCATATTAATGTTAGAACTCAGTTGTTTACTGTGGGTTGATTTACACATTGTGTATGGTAGCACTGGAGGCAGCCAAAGGGAATGTTGTGGAAAGCATATCTATATCTTAACAAACACCGAGACAGAAGTTAATGAGAGCTTTAGTAGCTTTTTGTTTACCTCTTACTCTTTAGGAACTTTGATTTTCATTATTACAAGTGCCAGGTTAGGATTGAAGAATTTTGAGTGGTCCTACTTTGGCTTTATGAGTTATAAAAGTTGGATTTTTGCTTGTCTTTATGTTCCTAAATGAGCCATATGTCAACATATTTGTTTAATTCTTACTAATTTTACTTTCCTGTGGGGGGGGGGCACTGACCCTGAAATCCAGAATGTGTAAAAGGTTTACTTAAACTGTTGAAATAGTATCTTATATGAAGGATGTAAGTTACTCAGCTTTCTGTTCCCTAAGCCAAATAGTGTTTGTCTTCAGTATGAAATTTAACTGTAAAAACTGCTTGTATAAATGTCAAGAGATTATAGAAACATTATTAATAAAATGGACCTGGGTCTAAGAAATTTTTTTCTTCAAAGGGAGTGTGAAGCAGTTTTTTATTCTGTTTGCATATTGGCTTTTCTTTCAACCTTAGTTTTGGCTCTTTATATTGCTACTGATTTGAAAAACAAAATTGATTCTTTATAGCCTTATTGATACAGTATAATCTGTGTCCAAATTCCTTTGGATCCATAGTTGAGCATATTATTACCTAGGTTGTATCAATCTCTAATTACATTTTATATCAATGTTAAATTCCCAGGTGCTTAGTCTTCCATGATTCTGAAGCTTGTCCTTTTTAAACCTTGGAAGTTCCTCAAAGAATAAACAGCCTCATGCTTTTCTAACCACAGCAATTAATTCCTTAACAAAGGAGGGTGGGACCATGATTATATACCGCACTCAAGCCAAAAAACCATGACAAAATTCAGTAACTTTAGTTCTGTGAACATGAAAAGATTTCTCTTTTGGTTCCCAAAGGAAATTATTTTATATTCTTTCACAAAGTGAAAATAATACATTAAGTATTGCCAAGAACATTCTTCAGATACTGTGAATTACCATTCTGAGAGAAGGAAAAAAATGTTTTAGTATAATTTCTAAGTAAGATACATGTTTTTAAGGCACATTGTTAGCAATGTTTTTCATGAGCACCACAAGGGCCCTATGAAACATACTTAAATTAACCTTATTTAAATATCTAAAAGGACATGATATGCTTGTGCTATAAATATTTATTGTTCTACTTAAACAGTATCCCCAAAAGCTCACAGTGCCTTGTTGAGATTCCTCCCACTCCCATAAAACAGACATTTAAAATAAGTGGGACGGAGTAGGTCTTTAAAGACAAGTTGTTTGGGGCCAGGGATTTGGACCTGCCTTGCAGGTGCAAGGTCCTGAGTTCGATCCCCAGTACCAAAAAAAAAACAAAAAAAAAAACCAAAGGTTTTGCAGTTCAAGGCTCTGCCTGTTCAGGAACATGTCAGGAATAAAGTAGTTGTATGTAGACATACTGAGAATCCTTTCCACAGTGTTGGTTTGGATTACATAGCATATTTAGTTGAGTGTATGGTGGACCTGTACTCTCACATACTTGTCATCAGTCAGTGGGATTTGTATCTGCTTTCATTTGTACATTTTCATCCGTACTGTCCAACACTGTGGCCCTATGATGTGGCTTGGCAGATGTGTCATACTCACTGAGCCTTGAGACACTCCCACCATGCGATTGGATATTTGCTTACAGCTCCCTAGGAGCAGGGCCTGGAAAGGGGGTTTCTGTTCCTTATGTTGCAGTCAGCCCTTCTTTTGTGTGATGGTGCCTTAAGAATAAATAATGCATTTCTGTTCCTGGGCAGTGATAAATCTTACAAGAAATATGTGTAAGTTAATATCATTTTTGTTGGTTTTTGTTTTTGTTTTTGTTTTTGCTAAGCCTGTGAAATACTTTGGCTTTGATACGACTTGACTTAAATAGTCTTCTCTTAAGTCTTCCTCCAAGGCAGTGTGTATTCCTGCCAATATTGTAGTAATCTTTTGGGAACTACATGTGGGTGAGCACTTGTATGTAAGCCATTATACTGCTGTAACTAATGCATACAGACAGTCCTCTATACATTTATAGTCTAAAAGTGGATATGTAGTGAGAAGGAAAATTCCTGAGAGATTCCAGCTTAGCTTTGTTAATTCAAACTGAGCCATACTGCTTTCCACAAGGGCTCAAACTCATAGTCTATATACTGTGTTTCCAGTGTATGTTTCCATTCTCCTTTTACTGGTTTTCTTAGACTGTACTATTCTATAAGCAAATGCCCCTGTGTGATTTTTTTTTAAAGATGGGAACAAATAAATAATATCAAAACTGTTTATCGTTTACAGCAATTTTTGTTTATTTCATACTGATTTCTTGTAACCTTTAATGACAGCATGATGCTGTATTCAGAAAAATAAAGATACACTGTGTAACCATGAATAGCCTCTCTGGTAGTGAAGGACATGCACAAGGTTCATGATTTGTCCCTGCCTGGCTGTCACATTGGAGAGAAGGTTGTAGCTGTCCGGAAATGACTGATGAGCCCTGTTAAATTCTGCCTTATATAATACATTTCAGTAACTATAGCCACGCTAAGATCTTACCTTTCTAATATTTAGTTGGTTAAAGAAAATAACTTTCTACCTGGCTTATGTAGACTTAGACTGAATGAGCCTTAGAAAGCACTCCCTCTTATACCTCCCCTTTACATAATTGCTCTGTAACCTTCCCCCTTCTCCGGGCCACAAACAGCCACTCTTTCTGAATATTGACTCTAAACAAGTGGGGCTTTACTGCTTTTCCAGGAAGCCATTTTCAAGTTCTGAAATCTTCAAGTATTAAGAGATTTTTTTTCTTACTAAAGTCTGTCTTCCTTTTACTTCTATTCCATCTGTCAATACAACTTCTGCCTTCTGTAGTTGTATATAATTGTCCACGGGTTCTGGCAGCTATTCGGGTGTTTAAAACAGATTTTATGTTCCCCCAAATCTCCAGTCCTTTGCTTATGTCATTTATTAGACCCTCCACTGTCCTAATCCTTGCCACATCTTCAGTTGATGTTTTTTAAGTGACATCTAGACCTGAATACACATCTCCCAGAGAAGTGCCAATGCTTCCCCTAATCTAGTCACTACACTAATAAATGCCATTTGGGGTAGACTTCAAACTGTCAGCTCACACTGAAATTGAATCAAAGTTATCTTTTCTGCATGTAACATTTTGTCCACATCACCCTGGAGAATATTTTTTAAGCCCCTGGTACTAAAATTTGTCTCTTACTGGATTTAGTTCCAGATTTTTAAAATTTTTGGATCTTGATTTACCCAGAATATTTTCTGTCCTATCCAGCTGTGTGTCATTATTAAATTGAGACAAATTTATCTGGATTCTCATCAAAGTAATGGCAGATAACTGTGGTACATAAGGTCCTGACTCATTTTTCATCCATGAAAAAGCATTGAAGTTCCATTTGGCATACTGTTGTCTACCTCAAATTTTTACATTTTGTCCACAAATAGGCTCTTTATTCCATTAGCCAACATCTATTCCAGACAAACATTAAACAATCAATTATGTTGACTTAACATTGTTGGCTGCCAGACTTAAATCCTGATAAAACTTGCTGCCCCGGAAAAATAAATGGAAGTCTTAGAGCCATCATGTTTACTTGTGTTTGTGTTTGGCCTCTGGCACACGTTTCTTTTCAAAAAACTCATAAACCCATTTTCCACTGTGTTTTCTGATGTGATCTGTTCTTTGAGCTTCATACTGGCCGATAGACAAACTGAAATCCATCCTTGCATAGTTCCATTATATCCATCGTACTTAGTTGTGCTAACATTAGAGTTGGAATCTACTCTTTTTATTTGATTCCCCCTCATCCCCCTGTGTTGGGGATCAAACTCAGGACCTTGCGCTTGCCAGGCAGGCACAGCGCCACTGAGCTATATCCTTGGTCCTTAATCTACTCTTTTAAAAAAAAGTGACAGCACATGTCATCATAAGAGAAAGACAGGGTTCTAAAGTCTAAATGCAGTGGAAAGAGTTCTATTCAGGGCATTCAAGGTGTGCTTCATATTTCTCTACCAGCCACTCACTTTCCATTTTGGGGCATAATTTCTTTGTAAAATGAAAATCTCTCAGATCCCTTCTAACTCAGTCTCAGTAATTCTGAGTGTATGCACTTCTGCCAAACACTACCCTTAGGTTTGTGGGGCAGTAGGTTAGAAAGTTACTCCCTTAAAGCATCCCCTTTAAGTCACTTATCTCACCTTTCCTATTTTGTGTATTTGGGCATCTGACTCATAGCCCTCTGTAAACAAATCCTCTAATATTTGGCCAAACCTATCATGATACTTCCTATGGATTCCAAGGTGCTCCTGTAAACCTGACTGATATGTGTGCCTGTGTTACCCACCAGGGAGGCTGTGTTATCGCAGATGACCCACATCCATTCCTATGCAGCTCTCCCGTTTCCCAGGGCGGCTACTTCCTATGACTAAATCAGAGTTAGTCACTGTACACTTGACCTTCACAGGTGGTATTAATGTGAACATCCATGCCACAGCTGAAACCATATTCAAAGTGGAGCTGTCATGAGGAATACAAACCCTTTGGCATGCATGTCATGTTACTGCTGATCAAAGGAATCTTGGTTCTTTACAGAAAGATCAAATTCTTATTCATGTCTGGGAAAATGGATCCAACTACTTGTGTTCAAAAGACATGCTCAGATTTTGTGTGTGTATGTATGGAGATCCAGGGTTAAGACTGAAATATTGATTTCTGATCCTTTTAAAATAGACTGCAAATGTGAAGAAATATTAAAAGCTTTAGAAATATAGGGAAATTTTTGTCAAGAAAAGTGCTTCTAGTTCTAACAGGTATGCTTTAGGAACATTGAACAAAGGTTTTCATTAGAGCTTTAAGGATGAAGGCTTTAGATCAAATAGCAAAATATGGGGGTCACTGTGAAGTCCTTTGCCTCTTAGAATCAAGCAGAACATCAGATTCATTAGAAAGTGAGTTATAAAGCTATTATCCTATAAATAAAGGGCAACAAGTGTAGAGGAGTTAGGAATGCTCTCACTCTCCCCCAGCTCCTCCAAGCCTCAGCTCCACATCCTGGACTTTTAAAGTGTGGTCCAGGAGACCTGGCTGTCCCTGTCAGTCATCTGCATCCAAATGAATTCTTCCCTAGAGGGCCAGGGTAAAGAAGGGGACAAATGCCAAAATTGAGTGGTAGGAGCAGTCAGGATTTCCTAATGCATTGCTAGCCAGAAAATCTCAGCTGCCCAGCATCAAGGGGTTAAAAACTATTCTGAAAAGTGTTTTATGTTCTGAAAGCTAAATTACACATACATGCAAACCATAAACATACAGCACCTGGGTAAATAAATTGTGACAGAATAAGGGCTGGGCTGTTTGCAAAAGGAATCTGGAAAACATTTACTTTTGAATGGTTCACATTACTTACTTTATATCTTTTTAAAAATAGTTTTGTTTAGGGGAAATAGGAAAAAAGCAGAATTTTAATGTGGTTGTTGAAAGTAAGATTTTAGTTCATTTACTTTCCAAATCTTAAGGAGTTACAGAAATTGAAAGGGTCACAGAGCTACTGCAGCAATACTTTTAATACAAAAGTTGGTAAAGAACAATTCCCAGATGTAAAATGTGGTTTGGGATGCCCTGAAGAGATCATTAAACATTGATTGTTCTCCAAATGTGAGATCAAGCATCACTGGTAAACAATAGCAGCTCAGATAGTTAAGATTAGAAATGCCATGGAGAGGCATTTCTGGAGGACACCAACATGAACAAGTTGAAATCATCACAGAAGGATAAAGTTCGACAGTTTATGATCTTCACACAATCTAGTGAAAAAACTGCAGTAAGTTGTCTCTCAAAATGACTGGAAGTTAGATGTTACAACAGATAATTTTTTCCAAAATCCTGAACTGTATATACGAGAGTATAAAAGGATCATTGGGCAGGAAGAAGTTAGGACAACAATACAATAGATACAAAGATCCTCAAGATGAAAATAAAATTGGAATAGATGGTATACAGCAATTCTGTGATGACCTGGCACTTGATCCAGCCAGCATTAGTGTTTTGATCATTGCATGGAAGTTCTGAGCAGCAGAACAGTGTGAGTTCTCCAAGCAGGAGTTCATGGAAGGCGTGACAGAATTAGGATGTAACAGCATAGAAAATCTAAAGCCTCAAATACCCAAGATGGGACACGAATTGAAAGAACCAAGATCATTTAAGGATTTTTACCAGTTTACTTTTAATTTTGCAAAGAATCCGGGACAAAAAGGATTAGATCTAGAAATGGCCATTGCCTACTGGAACTTAGTGCTTAGTGGAAGATTTAAATTCTTAGACTTAGGAATAAATTTTTGTGGGAACATCATAAATGATCAATACCAAAAGATACTTGGAATCTCCTTTTAGACTTCAGTACAATGATTGCAGATGACATATCTAATCATGATGAAGAAGGAGCATGGCCTGATCTCATTGATGACTTTGTGAAATTTGCATGCCCTCAAATTGCTGGGACAAAAAAGAACTTCCTAGAATGTACATAGTCTGTACAATAAATACACCAGAAAATTGCACAGTCAATTTCTGCTGGCTGGACTGAAGATCAATCCTCACTATTCAGACAAAGGGTTGAGACAAAACTTTAAGGATACATTTTGGACCATATCATATTTCATTCTTCAAATGGTGGTTTGGGCTTGTCTTCTAGACTGGGCTGCTCTAAACATTTATAATTCCAACGTTGTGAAGTTCATCTTAATATCTGTGGTCCATCCTCATTTATTCTCCCATAAGTCTTAGAAGGTTTATGGTGATTATTTTGAGGTTTCCATTCTTGCATAAAGCACAATGCTGTCTTTATCAGAAAACAGTTTGGCATAAGAATTAAACATAATGAACATCACAAACAATTTATAAAAACTTAACTATATGCTTTGGGCTAGTTCCAAAGACTACACTGATAGCACTTCCAATGAGAGTGATATATTTAAGTGTATGGGATCTGGAATGGTGTTTTGGTTTGGAAGGATTTTCTTTTTCCTGGCAAATCACATGTATTGTTGACGTAAGCAGATTATCTGATGAGAGAAATGTCAAAACAACCATTGTGAAAATTTTTTAGGATAACTTGGTGCCTACTTGAAAAATGTATTATGATTTAGACTCTCAGTTTCAAAAAGGTTCCACAGAAATAGTCTGCACTCACCAGTGGTTCTACAGGGAGCTTTTATTCAGCAGATGTCTGCGGAATGTTAGATTCTTCTCTTGTCTATATTATGCACCACATAATTGGATTTCATTGTGCTTTTGAAATGCTCATATGCCTATCAAATAAGTTAAACTATTTAATTTGTTTTGAATGTTTTTAACAACACAATACAATACAATACAATATCCTAAATTTAGGCATGAGGGTTTATTTTGTTTTTATTTGTTTTCTTCCTTTTTGGTCATCGCGCTATGGAACACAAATGAAATTCTCTTAATTTATGAAAGGATAGTATGAATTAAATTTAGGAAATGGTTATGATGAGCCGTAAAGTGCAATCTATATAATATAGGTACTGCTCTTTCAGACAAGTAGGCCATTTTTGATGACTTCTTATTTTGTTGAAATTGCTTTAACTGCTAATCACTGTGGTTGCCAAATATTTTACTTCAGGAGCGGAGATTTTCAAACAAGCATATACTTAGTAAAAAATACCAATCTGGCTTCTATTTTTGTAAATTATTTAGTCTCTACTGTTTTTGTTTTACTCACATTAGCTCCATTTTGACATGAAAGCAGAATGCTGTCTTGTATGGAACTCCTTCCTTTGGGGTTTTTTTGTTTTTGTTTTTGTTTTTTTTTGGTTAGGGGACCCCCGTGAACAGCTTTCTTGCCTAAATTGCTCATTTTTGTTTACTTACTGTCATGTGAACAAGGGTTAATTGCTTTCTTAAACATTTCTGTAAGGCAAGTTTAAAAATGCTGAACTTCAAATTTTGGATGACCATGGTCTTTACTAGGAACAGATTTTGCCTGGTATATCCAGTTACTCGTTAGGGCCTAGTATTGATATCAATAAAGTAATGCACTTCAGAATAGCAGTACATTTTATGCTGATGCAGAAATGATTTCAAGAAACAATGACTTATTAAAATTGCTTTTTATTTGCATAATTTTGAAATTGACGAGATATTTTATTAATATTCCAGTCATAACTTTTAATTCAAGACTTAATTTTACCAAAAGAAAAATTTGAAAATTTCTATTCAGGTTATTGGAATTAATTATTAAAAGAAAAAAGAGAAGACTCCTGCTGTTTTCAGTGTTTCCTGATTTCATTTTTGTACATATAAAGAGGAATTTCAATTATGAAAAATTTTAAAGATATAAAAATATATGTACTTTTATTTCCTGTCTTGAAGATTTTGAGTTGCAATATTATTTTCAGATTATTTCAAGTATGCTGTGTTTTGAAATGAGATCCCATTTTTCCCCATTATAAATTATTTTCTTTTTTTTTTTTTTTTTTTACTTAAATTCTTTTATTGGTACATTTTAGGTATACAACGCATTGAGTAAATTGTTTTCATAAGATTCTGATATTGGTTGTGGCCTAGTGCCTTGGGTTTTACAGATTTTTCTTTTAAATGCGAAACCTTTTCAACAAAATAGTGTTTGTCATCAGTTTGGTACTTAAACATTTATAATTACTGTGTAATTATAAACAAAAATACATAAAGCTTTGAATATAATTACGTAGCATAAAAGTTAAGGTTGTTCTCTATGATGGCATCTTAAAATTAAACAAAGCTATTACTAGGCCTGAAAAAAAAAAGAAATGCATAAATTCAAAATTATTTGACTTCACAATAAGTCAGCACTTCTGATCTAATAGAACTTAGCACTTAGGACTTCAGGCTACTGAGGAATTATGCTGAGCCTACATATGAGTACCTATGTGACGAAGTAGTTTTTCCCTAAAGGAAAAAAAATCATTTCATTATGCCAAGGCTGTCTTTCAGGGGAAAGCAATTAGGTTGACCAAAGAATGAGATTGAGGTTCAGTAGAAAGTAATTAGACTGACCATAAGAAATCACTAATTTTGTAGGTAGGTCAAAAATCAGCAATATCATATGATTCAACCTAATAGTTCTATACTTTTCTAAGCCGAGTTGGGGATCCACTTATGGAGAAAAAGAAGTGAAGGGAGAAGAAACAAATATTAAAACTCTCACAGGATTTAGATAATAAAATACCTGATCAGAATGTGTGAGGTTCCCAATAGGACCCAAGAAAACTATTCTGGCAGTTGTGGATCGAAACTAACATTATGATTCCATGTTTTCAGAATTGATCTTTCATCAGAGATAGGCATGGAAAGGAGTGTGGTGAGGCTGTGGGACCAAGGCGAAAGACTTTTCCTTACCCAAGATACTACAGTATGGAAACAACTACAGCATATCCTAAATTGAAAACACAAAGGCAGTAATTAAGAACTGAGTTATCAGGGTACATCTGCTCTTAGTCATTGTGGGAGATAAACGAAAACAAAGTTGTTATGAAAAGCAGTAACAGTGTGTCTTGTTCATACATTCAAATTAATGGAGAAAAAATAATGGAGATTTGTTTCTTTGATAATTATTTATTGTCTCTATACCACAGCACTGTAATTTAAGGGAAGAAAATTATCCATTGAATCTCCCCATTAAAGTAATGTATAACCGAAGGAATTTTTGTTAAAGCATTAGAAATATCTTGAATATCAAGTATCTTAAATACTACATAAAGCTATGCATTATACATTAATACAATTATGAGGATAAGTTATGAAACTAAAACAAACAGTCCCTGAAATGACTATTGAAGGCCTACACATCCTATACATGAATTACTTCTGAGTTTTGGACTTAGTGTCTGGTCCCTATGTAGGACCCCTCAAGAAGCATCAAAGCACAAAATTGAAAAAGAACAAATAGGCATTACAAGTTCTAACAGACATAACATCACTCATCAGTTTTGAACTTTTTACAACTCTTTCTTGGAACAAAGTTATTTAATATTTTGGGTAATTTCAAAACAAAATTTTATCTCATATTTTTGTTATAATGCTAAAATGTACCAAGTTCAATGTGTAACAATTACAAAGATGCCAAAGGCTAAATACAAAAAAATTGCAAAATTTACATAACAAATTTACAAAATTTACATTATGATTAAAGTCATTAACAGAAATTATTATGTATTCCATCCTATAATCTCATAAATCAAAGCTTTCAACTGCCTGGACTCATATGTGACTGTGTTCTTTCCAATATGCATTCTTTCTTCTTCAAGCGGTTGTTCTATAACAGCAGGTATATTTTTGCCGTGAAGTTCACAGTGTTCTAGAAACTGCACACATTCCTGAATAACACTATCACGAAGCACTATCATGTGCTTTGACATGTTTTCTAATAAGGAAAGGAAGCATCTTTTGGCATAGTACCAGGTATCAGTTCCCAGTTTCTTATTGTAAGGCTCCAAGCTTTTGATAACTCGAGAAATGCCAAAGTCATAATTTCCTTTGGCACAATAGAGTGTTCCTATCACCAAATTCACAATGCAGAGATGGTAGATTTTCTTATCTGGGTCAACATAGGACAGCTGCTCTTCCTCCTTTTCAATCTTCCTCATCAACTCCTCAGCTTCTTCATTTTGGCTGGTCATAATATAGGAAACACAAAGGTTCGCTAATACTATAGCACTGACATTCAGGATGTTATCGTAATGCTTCTTGACTATGGGTTCATAGAAACCAATGGCTTCTCTGTATTTATTTTCCTGCATGAACAGAACATGAGCTACATTCAACCTCCACACATCATGGTCATTACAGAATTCCACAGATTTGCGGAAGATCTTTTCCACCATTGGATAATTTTCAAGATTCCAGTAGATTTTTGCTTGGGCCATCAATACAGGAATGTATTTCTCAACAGTTTCGTCATACTCATTCAATGCCTTTATGATAGAATCATCAGCTCTACTGTGTCTTGCTTCCTGTACTTGTTTCGTGAGTTTCCAGAGCTGCTCAGTCAGCATCCCCGCTAGTTCCTCAAATTTAATGAAGGCCTCTTCTGGAGCTGTCTGGCAAGTGATCATGGCATCCAAGAAGTCATAGAGATAGGGTGTGAGGAACTTATAAGTCAAATGGACATTTTCTGCCAGAACATCTGCTGCCAGGTCAAAATACTCATACTTGCAGTACAGCAGCAAGAGGTTGCCAAAAGTCTCTGGGGGAAAAGGGTTCTGTTGGAGCAAAAACTGTAGCTTTTCAAATCCTTCTGTAGGCCTGGTATCCATGTTCATGAGTGCCTGGTTGTGCAGGGTCACTGGGTCCAACTCTTCCTCCGCCCTCGGTGGCATGTCAGTGAGGGTTTCCTGGGCTACCTGGTAGTTTTTCAGCTGGTACTCTATGGCTGCCTTGAGGTTGAAGGCTTCCACCAGAGCAGTCTGGTGGAGGACTAAGGTATTGCCAACGCTGCGGGCATCTATGCCCTCAGTGGTCGTGCCCACACCGAGCTCAGGGTGCTGACGGATGCCATGCTCAATTATGTCAGAGATATGCTTCAGAGATGAGCCATAGTGCCGACTGCTGTAATAAGCCAGCGCCAGGTTGTAGGAAAGGTCTGGCTGGTACCCTGAGGCCTGCAGGGCCGCAAAGAACTTAGAACACGCAGCTTCATAGTGTCCCTCCTTGTAGAGCAAACAACCCAGGTTGACCTGGCCATCGCGGTCGTTCTCTCCCCCACTCTCTTCTCCTGCTTCCCCACTCAGCAACTGCTCCACGAGGCTCCGGGCCCCTGGCAGATCGCCCTCGCTGTACTTGATAGCAGCTTGCAGGCGGAGGACCTGGCCGTGATAGGCTGGGTTATCCAGGAGGAGGAAGGCGACCCGAGTGGCCTCTGGATAAAGGCAAGCCTTGTGTAGAGCCTGGGCCTGGTACAGGCGGTACTGCTCGAGTTCTGGGTGCAGCTGGCTCAGCTGCTCATAGCACTCTGCGGCCAGCAGGAACTCCTGCAGGCGGTAGTAGCAGTAGCCCAGCAGCGACAGGCCGGCGCGGCTCTTCGGGCTCCGCTGCAGCTCAGTGGCCAGCAGCTGCACTGCCTCGGAGTAGCGAGAATCGCGGATGAGCCGGTACACCACCGCTGTGAACCCATCGGGGATCTGCGCGCAGCTCATTCCCGCCATAACCACCAAAATTGTTGTCTCCTCGTTTCCAAGGCAACGAGCCAACCGGAAACGGAAGTCTGTCCAGAAGTTTCTTTACACGGAAAGGAAACCGTTAGGAATAGAAATGAACCGAAGATATGAGTCTCTCAATTTCTTAAGCCTAGTGTTGAAATACTCAGGATTGAGGATGGTTAGGAATTGGGAAGACAGGAAACTTCAAGCCTTCCAGACGCTGAAACTCTACTTCCCGTCATGCACCGTTCTGGTCGCGTCGTCGCGCTGCATGCTGGGAGAAGTAGTTTCTACCTGTAGGACACACGCTTTAATGGATGTCACTCTCTTTTTTTTCTCTCTGCTAAAAGGATTGCTCACCGTTTTTGTTGTACCACTTCGGTCTCTGGCGAGACCAGGAAAGGTTTAGGATCCGAGATCTCTTCCTATGTTCAGTATTCACTGTACGGTGTCGTTTCGGATTTGGTGACAGGAACGTGACTGAAAAGTCGGGGGAGAGGGGGATATGCCTTTGGATTCCCTTGGAGTAAAAGTAGAGATTGTCCTCAAACTCTCCTGAGGGCGCACTTTCTAAGAACAGAATAGTGCAACGGCCAAGAGTTCTTACTTTCCTCGTTTCCAGAGGATGGAGGGGGGGGGGGAAAGTACTGTGTATTGACCTACTGAGAGGATTGATTTAGATCCAAACATCTCCCTCTCCCTTTTTTCATAAATGACAACTATTACTGAGCATATGTTGGCGTTTAATTTAGCCATTCCCACTGTTTCAACTTCCATACCAGGTAAAATCTTTGGGGAAATGCATGACCTTATCTGTTTGGAGGTTGAAAAAGACACAAGACTAACAAGTGCTCCTTTCCTATGCATTGTTACTTTTCTAACTCTGCCTCCAGGATATTATGTGTGATATGTGGATGAGAGAGAGACAGAGAATACTCAGTTTTTACTTTTCAAGCATGTAATGGTGTTTTTGGGTATTCTTGAGCTGATTTTAAAATGAATTCTTTTTCAATTGAAAACAAATTACCCACATCTCCTCCTCCCCTCTCTGGCCAGTCCCCAAATTCCTCCTTTGAAGATCTCTGGGCAGATGTGCTAGACTGTACAAGAATCAGTCTTGGTTTTCTTTTGTTCCTTTTTTGTACATTTGGAATAGATGCTCTAAATACCGTATTTCTATCTCAGGGCTAATTTTATATAATTTAAAAAATATAATAGTGCCCATGATGAGAGAGGGGGGAAACTTGGAACTTAATTATCCTATAAAATTATTTTGAATCACTAATAAAAAATATAGATTTGACTGAACCAGAGACTGCAGAATTTGTGGCAGCGTAAGTACATATTTTTAAATATTAGAGCAGTGCTGTACATAAGGTAGGAAAATACAAAAACGGTTTATCTTAGTGAGATAATAGTAAATTGTGTGGTTTCTCAAGATAATACAGATATTTCTCTTTTAACAACCTACTGGTTAACGACCATTCACATTTAACACGGAAGTGTCCTTTTTTTTGTACAGTTCGGTACATCTTGTTTATAGAGCCTTAATGTCTTTTTTTGTACAGTGCATTTTGTTTATATAGCACCGTGATTTTTGCTGATTGCACTGTACAATATAGGACTATAGTTTTTTATTGCTACACATTGCAGTACTGCATGTAAGAGTTATGCAAATAAAAGCAAAGTCATCAAGTTAGAGTTTTCTTTGCCCATTTCTTTGTTCTGAATATTATAATGCTATATACATTCCTTATTTAGCGACCAATTCAGCTAACGATCTAGCCGCAGAAACATAACTCATAACTCGGTCATTAAATGAGGAATGCCTGTAATCATACCATACGGTATGAGGCTGCATCATGTGCAGCGCCTCTGCTGGTGACCTGGGGCAGGGCATTGTCTTTCAAAGTCATCCAGGGGCCAGGTATTTAGCTCAGTGCTTCCACTGCCTGCCTTGAAGCCCAAGGTCCCAAGTTCGATCCCCAATACCAAAAAAAAAAAAAAAGTCATCCACCATTTCTTTAGACCTCAGCAGCACACAAGGAAAACATTCAAGTGAAAGCATGTCTTTGCTTTGTAATTAAAGACCCCAATACAAATTTTCCTCTTCAGCAGTATTGCTGCTTATAAACTTTTTGTATATATAAATTTTGGAGCTGACACCAACCATATTTACATAGTACTGTACTAGATTACTTACATACTAATCTTATAACTACCCTGAATGTTGCACATTACAGATAAAGAGCCTGTGGCTCAGAAAGGTTGAGTAGCTTGCCCAAGATCACACAGGACCATAGGAAATGGTTGAACCATGTTATCTAAAAGCTAAGTTCAGAGAGAAATAGTGCCTGATGAATTAACTCAATTCATGCATGGGCCCAACTTTGAAGTAATATTAGTGAGTTACTTTTAGAAAATTGTTGTCATTTTCGTGTTAAAACAACCAACCAATCTGATTTGGGCAGTAGATATTTGAAATTCCTGGACTGAGTTGTAATAGTGAGCAGGTATTAGGAAGTACTTAGGGGGTGGTGTAGTTCCCAATCATCTGTTACAGTTATAACTGCAGCCATATAAATGCTAAAACAACTGATTTCACATACATTCTTCTCTCGATGAGAATTTTGCCACATTTGTATTCTTCTGGATAGGACCAGAAAAGAAACCTCCTACTGCATGAATACTAAAAAAAGGGACAGACTATACACCGGGAGGGTTGAGCGTAGCTCTGGATCACTGCAGAAGATCACTAGAGAAAACAGCCAAAGAAGGGCACTTCCTATACCAGGACACTCTATACCAGGGTGTCTTTCAACTCAACCTCTAGCTGCAACCTTTCTGATCTTCGAACCAGAAACATATATGGACTAAGAGATGCTGGCTAATGCTGCTCAATAACCAGGGAGTAAGGGATATTATCCTTTATGCCAGCCTGGTTGACAACCCTTGGAAACTGCCCAAAAGGCTTGATATTTTCAAATCCTTATATTTTGAGCTGTTTCTTTGATAAGTTACTATAAATTAAGATAACAAGACAGAACACAGAAACAAGAAATTGCCTTTCATAGCTTTAGCCTTTTCCTCTGCATTGCAGAGTAGTTATATTTGCATCATGAAAAAATTCACCTTTAACTGACTTCCTGAAAATTATGAAAGATAAAAGGACTATTTGCTCTCCCTCAAATAACTTTGATCCCTGCAGGAATCAGCTGGGGTTCTTTTCTCTGTGTTGTTACCTGTCTATGAGCATGGGCAATGAAGTGGGCAGGAGGGAGGCTATTCAGTGTCTTCCTCCTTATTTCATGTGATGTTGTTCCAGAAGCCTGGCTTGCAAAAAAGTAGGACATTCGGCTTAGACAGATGGAGGGCAGGGTCATTTTCAAAATGAAATGAGTGCACCAGCCACACTGTGAAATTGGCATGGCCATCACTGCTACTGTGATAGACTGAGTTTTATTAGATCTGTCATAGGCAGTTGGGGAATAGATTGTTTTTTAGGAAGTAGGAGAGGTGGGCAGAGATCCTTTAGTTAACAATTGAAATTCTGAAAAGCAATAAACTATGTGGAATATTGTATCATAAAGGATCATTTTGCTTGCAATAGAATCTTGAAAAATCTGGAGCATATATAAAAAAATAAGTCTGTGATACTATTCCCTGCAATAAGAAGGCATTTGGTGTTTGCAGTAAAATGATTTAATGCCTTATTGAAAGGAATTAGGCTCACAGGAAATGGTTTAGGGTTCATGTTGGATTTTGCTGAGTAAGGGAAGTATATTTGCCAAGTGGAATAATTTCATTTAGGCAAAATGAATAGAGGTGAAAAACATGATGTTTGGTTCTTAACATATTTATGTTTCTGCCTGCCAAGATATGATATGATAAAATCTCATGTGTAATCTATTTGGCAGTCTCTTTTAAAACTAATTGCAAGTGATTGTTTCTTATTTGTTTTGAAAAAAATATAGCCACTTAGCCTTGGTAAACATTGCTTATTTATGAGTATTTAAACCATAGCTATGGTCAGACATCTTCCTTAATAAACGAAAACCTTCTGCAAAACCCTTGTCATTTCAGTCTCGCATTCATTTCAGGCCATTTTTGTCAGGATGTCCAGTTTGGTCATCCTGGTTTCTCTATATTTTCTGGAAACCCGATTGACTTTTTGCCCCTGTGCATCCATTAATGATGATAGGACTCATCCTTCTGCCATAACCTCCTTTATTTTATACCTTACCAGTACTCAAAACAAGAAAGAAAAGAATAAATTAGTGCCAAGTTTGTAATGTAGTTGGCTGACCTTTAGGAGTATCTGTTCGATCTTTTAAGACTCTTAGAAAAGACACTACCAAATCAATCCTTCGGAACATTTATGCTAAAATGGTGAGAACATTAACCTCATTGTGAGATTAATTTTTTCTCGAGGAGTTCCATCTCTTTTAATAATTTTAATAGTATTATATCATTATTGATATACCTTGGTTTTGATCAAGTGGTTTCTGTTTTGGGATTTATAGTGTTATTATCCAAATTAACTTTACAAAATAAGATGGCTTATAAAAAGGAATTAGCAAAGAAGACACAATTGTGGGTACTACCATTGAAAGATTCCAGAGTTGGAGTTTGCTGTGGGATGTACTGGTGGATTTGTTACCCAAATTACCTTGAGTAATTTTTTTTTGCTGCTTTTACATCCAAGAGGCAAGAAAACTTATTGAAGTATCTCTTCTTTTCTCTAGGACTATTACCATTCAAACTCAGATATAGCCTGTATATCTGTCTGCATTTCAAAACAGCTACAAAAATAATAAATTGGATTGAAAGCATCTCTGATGTCCATGGTCAAAAGATTAGATTTCTAAGAGAAAAATACCATCAGCCTCTGAACACCTTTTCTGACTTGTAAAGTTTCCAAGCTGTTTATCTATGGCATCAGAGAGCCATCTATAATGCCTTTGATAGGTAGCCATTCAGTTGTCACAAGTGACCAGTTTTCATTTGACTATTGCCTAAGATGTTACAGGCCTGGTCTGATTTTAAGCCTTGAGCACAGTATGCACAGTTGCCTTACTGGATTATGCTAAGCTTAATGCAAAGAATACAATTAGCTCTCCTCCAACCACACCAGAATAAAGAGTAATTAAGAACTAGATGGCAACTGTCATGATATTTGATCAGTGATATAATTGCTAAGCTATTTTTTGAGGCTTTCTTTGTGGAGAAAATCTCATGTGTTACGGTACAGATTTGCAGGGCCAATGCTAGTAGACTGAGTCTAATCTAGAAAGCAGGCCATTCTCTGGACCTACCTCTCTGGTTGCCTTGCTGTTTCTGTTTCTGTTTGCTGGCTGCCACAAGGTGGGCAGCTTTCCTGCACTGTGGCCTTGTATCACCATATTCTGTCTCACTTCAGGCCCACAGCAAAGGAAACAGCTGACCATGGACTAAAGACTCTGAGCTGTGAGTCAAAATAATTCTGTCCTCCTGTAAATTGTCTTTCTCAGGTATTTGCTCAGAGCTACAAAAAGCTAACACATCTACAATCACTGTTTTCCAGTTTCTAAGACCGCTACTAT